TTAATATATTTAATTGTTTTGTAATAAATTCTTGTTTTGCTTTATTTGATTGATATTTATATAAATAATATAATATTATTAATACTATTATAAATTTAAAAAATAATCTCTTCTTTTTAGGTTTTAATGGTTGTTGTTGTTCATGTTGTTGTTGATTATTAAATTGTTGTTCATATTGTTGATAATTGATTATTCTTGTTGAAAATGATCGGATTGATGATTTATTTTGTACAATTAAATAAGTATACTTTAAAATATCATTACAATTATTATGAATATGAAGATCATTAAATGATTTCCTAATAATATTATTGATATTATTATTTAATAGCTTTTTGATTGACATTTTTTTTTTAATCTAATTTTAAAAAAACTGAAATCAAAAAACAAATTTATTTTCTCTTTTCATAACTCAATGCTCCTCTAATTCTATTATTATTATTATTACTAGTAGTAGTATTATTACATGTATCATGTGTTAAAGATGATGAAGAGGATGATTTAAATTTAGGTAATTGTTTTGAATATTGTTTCCATTCTTTATCAAAATCTTGATCAGTTGAAACATTTTCAAGTTTCTTAAATACATGTTCTTTACCTTGTTTATCTCTTGTTTTTTCTAATAGACTCTTTTTATCACCAACTTGTTTTGTAATTGATACCTTCTCTGTACCTGTTCTTGAATCTTTAATTATTTCTTTTCTTTTACTTATTTTAGATCCATCTCTATTACTTGAAATACTTGAAAAAGATGATGAATAATATGAATTAGCATTATCAAAATTTGAATGATTGTTAATATTATTGAAATGAGAATTAAAGTCTTCATCCATTCTTTTAAATAATTGTTCACTTCTTTTCATTGATGACATCATGTCAAATGGTGAATTTGAAAAGAATGGATCATTATCAAAGAATGAATTTGACATCTTCATCATATTAAATGGATCTTCACTTCTTCTTCTTCTATCATTATTATTAGAATTAGTATTTGAATTATTTGAATTATTACTATTTGAAGTTGTTCTACTTCTTGTTGAATTGGAAGATGAAGAATGATAATGTCTATAATTATTAATATCTATGATTGTTTGTTGTGGTATTCTTAATAATGGAATGTAAACTAGTAGTGATACTTACGATCATCTGGATCTTCGTATCTTACACTACTACCATTGCTACTACTCATATGATCACCATATTCATCATCATCTGATAATTCTTCAAACATTGGTCCTTGATGTTTTGTTTTTCTCATTTTCAAATAAGCAAATGATTCACGGAAGTTGTAATTTTTAAAACTCTATTCTTTCTCAATAGTAGTGTAGTAATACAATCATATATATACTAAAGACAACACACGATATTGAGGCTTTTTTTTTAAAACTGCTTATTTCCGAGATTTAAAAATAATGAGGCGACAAAATTTATTGAGGAAATT